CATCAGTATCCATAAGGTTACTCTTTTTGGCTTGTCTCTGCTCTTCAAAGCCAGAAACGGTCTTTGAAACCTCAACTATGCTGTTAGTCTCGGCAACATCAGTAGATTTGGATACCCCAAACTGCAACAAAATGCAATCCAAAAATAAGAAACAAAAGACTTATTATCATGGAAAAGGAAGCAAGAACTAAACAATATACTAAAATGAAACAGAAAATTCCTCACATTAGGTGTATAAGTTAACTGGTCGCCATTAGCATTTTGATGCACATCAGCGTCTGAATTATCTGTTCCAAAAGAAATGACTGAACTTCAACACTAATCATGGCATTCATATATTCAATCGAACTAAAGAAACTAATATTTCAGTTAACACCTCCGGTCCAGTTATGCAAACTCCAACCAACCAAATGCAAATATTTCAAAGAAAAATTAAGAAATAAACCAATACTGCAAACCCTAATTTATGTCAAAAAGAAGAAAGATCTCGAGAGAGACGAGTTTTGAATTGAACTGACCGTTAGTTTCGTTGGTTGGAGCAGGAAGGGAATTGTCGGCGGTTGATTTGGAGAAAAGATAGGGAAATATTCTGGTGGCCCCGCCAGCTATGAACCGGCAAGCGGGATCGACGAGCTTCGACAGCCAACGGCTACCCTGCAATTGGCTTTGCTGCGGCCGGGCATAAGGTGTTGGCCTACGCGGTGGTGGCCGCCTCAATTTCCCACCGCCACCTCGCTCCGGCGGGCCACCTTGTGTGGAGTACAACGGCGCCGTGTCTGGATCCCTCTCCATCTCCTGCCCCGCTTTCTCTCTTTCTCTCTCTCTCTCGGTCTAGTGTTTTTGTAACACGACAAAAACAACCTGCCGAACGCCGCTTAATGTGAAGCGCGCTTTTTGTAAATATTTTGGCAGCCCACCGATGTCAGCCACTAAGAGCATGCCACGTAGAACATCCTTGAATTTTAACATTTTGTTTTGAATGATGGGCAAACCCTAACAATAGCCCCTGAAGTAACTTCTGTGTGTCGCCTCAGCCCTTACAAGTTACTACTTACCCTAGTTTACTCCTATTCTGTTTAAGGATTTGAGCCCTATTAACTATAAATTTTATGGATTTAGGCTCACTTCGGATTGTTGTGATATGTTGTGGTTAAGATTGTGATTGTCAAAGTGGTAGTAATTGTGATTATGGGTGCATTTGGGATTATGGTTAAGAGCTTTTTTGTGTATTTATATAGTGTTTTTAAATATATATATATATATATGTTCAGTAATTTTTTTTCAAACTACTTTTTCTAAAGTTATAGAAAGATACAGTAGATTTTCAGTAATTTTATATATAAAGTCAAAAA